TCCATTTAAGCCCATTTTGCAAAAATGAGTACACCCCAATTATAGTCTGAGGAGAAAAGCCACACTTAAAGCTCCTTTCCGGAGTTTTCCGCTTTCAGAAATGATGTGTGATTTTTCAGAAATCTGTAAAAGTGATTGTCTCATCATGTACTGTGATAAAATGTAAGCAATACGTCTTTTTTTTTTTGCTAACCACGCCCCCTGCCCCGTAGAGCTCCGTGCAATAGGAAACTGAGCGCTGACCAGAACTAACCAATAGCGTTAAGACTACCGCTTAGACGCTTCAAATTTAAGGAATACCTCAGCTGATGCAGAGTTGATGAACTTTTCACGGACAAGTAAGTCTCTAAAATATAAATATATGAGAACACAACATGACATGAGAATAATACTCATAAAAAAGTGTGTTTTAGCTCCGTTTGTCGGCTACAGAAACATATTTATAAACGGAAACGTGAAGTCGCCATCTCCACATGGAGAAAGGTCACAAAATCTGAGAAAGGAAATAATTTCTTTACACAAAAAGGTGTAAAGTGGGAGACTGACAGGCGGATTGGGGCAGTGTCTTCAGTGATACAGACACTGAACCAGTCTGTTGTGGTGAAGAGGGAGCTGAGCCAGAAAGCAAGGATCTCGATTTACCAGTCCATCTACCGCCCAGTCCTCACCTATGGTCATGAGCTTTGGGTAATGACTGAAAGAACGAGATCGCCAATAAAAGCGGCTAAAATGAGTTTTCTCCGCGGGGTGGCTGGGCTCTCCCTTAGAGATAGGGTGAGAAGCTCGGCCATCCGGGAGGGTTTCGGAGTAGATCTGCTGCTCCACCATATCGAGAGGAGTTAGTTGATGTGGTTGGGGCATCTTGTTAGGATGCCTCCTGGACGCCTCCCAGGGAGGTGTTTCAGGCATGTCCTGCCGGCAGGATGCCTTGGGGTCCTGCTGGAGGAGCTGGTGGAGGTGGCCGGGGAGAGGACGGTCTGGAACTCCCTAGCTGGGATGCTGCCCCTGCCACCTGGACCCAGATAGGCGGAAGAAGATGAGACGATTAAAAGGTGAGGGCTACAAGAAGATCAGCAAAGCTTTACATATCAGTCACAATACTGTAGCAGAAGGGATCCAAAATTTTAAGAAATATGGAAGTTCAACCATCTTACAGAGACGTCCAGGCTGTCCACAGAAGTTAACATCTCAACAGGAGCATCTTCTGATGAGAAGGGTTGAAGAAAGTCACCATGCAAGTTCACTGCAGTTAGCTAAAGCAGTAGAAAGCCAAACATGAGTGACCGTTTCCCGTGACACCATACGGCGCACACTGCAGAGGATATCGTCCACGAAGGAAGACTCTCCTAAAGCCCATGCACAAAAAAAGCTTGCCTAGGATTTGCTCGGGCCCATGCTGGAAGAGATGAAGACTACTGGGTCTCTAGACTCTGGAATGATGAGACAAAGGTCTCTGTTTTTGGAACTGATGGTTTCAAAACTGTTTGGCGTCGTAAAGGTGAGGATTTCAAAGAGAAATGCACGGTGCCTACAGTGAAACACGATGGTGGCAGTGTCCGTATGTGGGCTGCATGAGTGCTGCTGGTGTTGGGAAGTTGCATTTCATTGAAGTATCATGAACTCAACAATGCACTGCTCTATACTGAAGGAGAAGATGCTGCCATCACTCTGTGCACTTGGTCGTCATGCACTTTTCCAACACGACAACGATCCAAAACACATTTAAAGCTACTGCTGCATTTCTGAAGGAGAACAGGGTGAAGTTGACTGAATGATCAAGTATGTCTCCTGATCTGAACCCAATCCAACACCTGTGGGGAATTCTGAAGCAGCAAGTTGAGCAGCACTCTCCATCCAGCACACAGGCTCTAAAAGAGCTTCCTCTAGAAGAATGGAACCAGATAGATGTTGCAATATGTCGCCAACTTGTTCATTCCATGCCTAGAAGACTTGGTGCTGTCCTTGAAAATCACAGTGGTCATACAAAATACTAGATGTGTTAGTTTTTGTTGTGGGGTGGATTCATTTTTGCTTCAGCCAATTTGAGTAAAACTGAAGTTTTTGTGATCTAACTTATTATTAACCTTAATTTCCTGTTATGGAGTTGAACAAGTGTTCAATAAATCCAGCCTTGTGAACTTTCTGGAAATTGTTCTTTTGTTCGTTGAGCTCCTGATTAGATTTGTACATTTTACAGGGGGTGTACTCATTTATGCTGAGCTCTGTAAATAAGTTTTATTCCCTGATCGATAAGTGGTTTCCTTAATTTATTTATTTTTAACGAGCTTCAGCAAGCTTGGAATGATTGAAAGAAGGATTTATTGCTCAGAAGCAAAACATAAAGAAAAAAAAGACTCAAGACTTCCGCTCTGAGCTGAACATCCAATAAGATTTAATATCTAAATAAGGGGGAAGAAACATTTTAAAACATCCAGATGGACAGTGAAGGGATAATCGGTGTTATTCAACAAACAAGTACAATTAAACACATAAACAACATGACTTGATATATTTGGTGCTACAGTCCATTAGAGCACTAACCGAACTGTGTTGTGAATGATGAACGTTTAGAGCTGAGTCACGTTTGGAGTGAAGATGCTGATCAGCCTCAGCAGACACAGAAACGGTTCAAACTCTAATTTTACAGACATCTGTGGTTGAGTCATGAACAGATCATGAGAGCTCTTGCAACACGGTGTAAGATGGTCTATGGCACTTTTATCAAAACTTGACCAAAACAAACACAACTCCATCACTATTCAACATAAGGTGATGTTTTAAAACTCTGTATAAAAGGCGGCATGCAGGAAGTTTAAGTGCTGAGTTCTGATTTTAGACCATGTTTTAAAACATTCTGTTGAGTCAGGAGTTGTGAAATCAAATCAGTGAGTCATGACTAAAAGATGATTAAGATGTTGATTCAGACCGAAAACCCATGTGTGTTTATTTCTACAAGTTCAGCTGCACTTTGCTCTTTTAATATTTGCTCTCCAGTGGAAGTTTTACATTTGTGTCCTGTTTTCCATAGTTATTTACAAAATACCTGAGGCTGGAATACTTTTATGGAAGTTTCTGATGCATACATATCTGATGGTGTCTCTTGAAAATGTTTATTTTCCACTTGGATTTTAAGCCAATTCTAATTTTAAGCCAATTTTAATATTCCCCATATGCAAACTGCACCCGTACATGTTGGGAAGAGGCTAATCTAAACGATAGAATCCACATTTTATCCCTCAACAATACCCAATGCCACCAATAAGCAACTATTAGCCGCTAAGCAAAATGGCCGTAAAAACACGCTAACTACACCGATCGAGAAAAACACACTATAGCGACATTGCAACATGATCCTATCCACAGGAGCAGCAGTTTAAATTAAAGCCCAGACTCTCTTCTTTCTAACATTTTAAGTATTATTATGTGCAAAGCCCCAAACGAAGCTTATTTTATCACGTCAAACGCTTAAAGTTCTACCTGGTTTATAGTCATAATCCATATTAAAGTATAAAATCGACTTGTTTCGTGTATTCCTATGTCCCAATCATCCAATTGAGCTGAATTTTTCGGTTACTTTTAGCTGCTGGAGAGTGTTCACAAGTCTCCGACCCAAGTTCCATCATTTCTACAAAGATATATGATGCTGTTTGGAAGAACTTTCCTGACAAAGATGGAATCAATATCTAGACTGATTAAACCCCGCCCAATCATTGGCTATTTCAACTAGAATCATCAAAAAAATAAAATTAATCTTGATTTTATTTGGAAAAATAAAAATCATTACATTCGGAAAACGATCTGGTTAAAAACTACGAGGGAGGCATAAAATCCATAGATTTTGAAATAATGATAGCTCCACTTATTTCTAAAGAATGTTGAAGAAACCTGGTATCTAATTCCAAGATTTATTTTTTGGTAAAGTTGGAGGAATAATAAAATTCCTATTAAAATATATTTTTGAAACATTTAAACTACCAATTACAAGTTGTTTTGTTTGGAAAAATGTCGTTCTAACAAAATTTTAGCCCTCATGATGTTCCAATATGGAATTATAGTTAACTTATAAAGAACCAAACATATATATTAGGCAAATGATGGACAAAGGAATTTGGTCAGTACATAGTTTGAACAAAAATGGTGAAATTCTTTTGTTGGAAGAATTGAATAGTATATATGATTAAGAATTATCAGAGATAGAAGACAAAAAAATAATCAACAATATTCCAAGAGAGATGATCCATCTAATCAAAGCTTCTATTGATAGTATTACTAATCCTGGACTAAAAACGACTATTGATGGAACTGATATATTTGATGGAAAATGTAATAATACACTTCTGAGAAATAGATTGAATAATACATTTTATCCTACAAATTCTTCATACAAAAATGTCGATCCCCCCCCCCCCCCCCCCCCCCCCCAGCTGAAATACATTTAAAAATGAAACTGAACTACTGGTGAGTTCCTTGAATGAAATGTCTATGATTAATGTCATAAAGCTATATGTTTTTTTAACAAATACTGGCTTGTAATACCCCTTAAGTGCTTTATATAATGTGTAAGTTATTTTTTTATTGTTTATCTTTCCTTTCTTGAACTGTCATAACTACAACTTTTCTTTTAAAAAATTTGTTCATCTCTGAAAGATTCCTTATATTACGCTGATATAAGTGTTTTTCTTGATCATTTTAAGAAGCTGATTCAGATCGTAAGGTTTTCTTTTGAAACGATTTATTTTTTCTCTCAATGTCTCAATATTTGTTTGATCTCCAAAGTGTTTTTCTTGATCCTTTTGGCACAAATCTAATCCCATACAGTTTGTACCCATTTTCAAAGAATGTATGACAGCACTATAGTTCCTTCTTTAATTGTTTAAATAAAGACCCTGTGGCAGAGGCAAATCGATGATTTTTATTTATTATGACCAGGAAGATGTAATATTATATGTAAATATAAAATATTAACCTACGAGGTCTTTATTGTAATTATTCAGAAGATTCTAGGATTTAATTCAGAAGATCTAGGTTCTTTGCTTTTTCAGTGATCAACCACACTTTGTATTACTTCAAGAAAGAGTCAGGTTTGTAAAAGTAAGAATTTATTTAACAAACAATTAAAACATGACTAATTAACTAAGCATTTACTGTAACTAAACGTGATGAAGGAACCTATGTGTGAATGCGATGTCAGTCAGAGCTTCCTTATCAAAGTAAGCTGAGTTCTAGTGAAAAGAACTTGGTTTGTGCTAAGCTATAAAGTTCTTATCATCAGAAGAACATTAGACGCAGTCTGTCATGTCTACTTCACCCGTTTTGGAGAGACCCTCTTGGTGGATCCGAAAGTCACAGCGCTGTAGAATACCGTGATACCGACTCTTCAGTCCAGAGATGTCTCGGGTCACAACAGCCGGATAGAACCGTGCGTCTGGCGGACTCTTAAGGAGTCCAACAATATCAGCTTTGTTCCTGCAGGAACTGTTTGCTCATCAGCTTTGCAGGTGCAAAAAGGTTTTGACGAAGTGTCAAAATCTTTGATGGTTAAAGAGGTTTACTACAGATGGCCGGTCTGAGCGATTCTCTAGAACTGTCGAATCACTCGGGATGATCCAGTTTTAAGGTTTTGATGTTATGACTCGCACAGCCAATCAGAGGCTGACAAGTTTGAGCTATGTTACCAAGACAACTCAGAAACACGCCTTCTTGATACAGGATGTTCTGACTGGTTTTAAAGTCTCTATGTGTTGGAGTTTAAATTAACCACACTTGTTATGGTGTGAGTGCAGGTGTGAGGACCTCGTCGTATAAACATGTTGAACACATGGCAGTCTCTGTAGACATAACATAACATAACAATTATTGAACAAAGATTAATGAAGCAGTTCATTACAATATAGTGATTGTAAGTAACAATAAACAAGTGTTTATTTAATGATCATCTAGATTATGAGTCATGGAAGAAGTTCATATTGATTTAGGAAATCATTCTTGATTTTAGCAACTGATTCGAGCTGGAGTTGTTCCCTCTGTGGAGGCAGACAGATGGGACCTTGGGAAAGAAAGTTATTGTTTGTCTTTCAGACTTGCAGAGTCTGTGAGCTGTTATGAAAGCAGGCTCATTTAAAGGGAACACATGCAGTGTTGTGTCTCCTTTCTGACCAGATGTTGAATAGATGTTGAAAGGTCAGACTGTACCTAAACTGACCATTGCTGGATGTTACAACCCATATGTGGTGGACTCATCAGGGATGAGTCCAGAAGTGTTCTGTTACATGAGGTATATGATGCTGTGCAGAAATTACCAGTAAAGCATGTGGTATGGATTCGCTCCCAGCAGAGCATCTGAAATATGCCAGTCCCAGGCTTGCTCCCTGTTAGCAATCTGTTTTACTGGATTTATGTCCCATGGCATACTTCCAGATGCAATGATGACTACGTTGCTTGTTCCAGTTATGAAGGAAAAGGCCAGAAAAGTTGGTTACCTAGACAACTGTAGACCTATTGCATTGACTAGCATTTTATCTAAGGTCATGGACAGGATCATTTTGGATAGAGTAAGTGGGCTTTAAGTCCAAGCATGTCAAGGACATGTGTGTCTATGCTCTCAAGGAAATAGTGAACCTATATTCAACTCAATTCAGTTCAATTTTATTTATATAGCGCCAAATCACGACAAGAGTCGTCTCAAGGCACTTCACATAATAAACATTCCAATTCAGGTCAGTTCATTAAGCCAATCAGAAAAAATGTTTCCTATATAAGGAACCCAGCAAACTGCATCAAGTCACTGACAAATACCTGTATAGGTTTAAAACAATCCTACTATTCTCATGCGTTTCATTGATGCCTCCAAAGCGTTTGATCGAGTTAATCAGCCTGGAGGTACTGTGAGAGTGCTTGCCTATTGGTATGCCCATCAGAAGCTGCACGTCAAATGTGGCGGGTAGTATTTCCGACCCCTTTAGTGTGTCCAATGGGACATGTGTTGATGAGCTATCCGGACGCCTGAGAGCTTGCAACACAGGCTGTTTGATAGGTGATGTTCTGATTAATCACCTTATATATGCAGATCACCTTGTAGTTTTTAGCCCTAGTAGTGCAGGACTGCAGCGGCTCCTAGATGTTAGTACTGAGTACAGAATGGAGTATGATTTAAAATATGATTCAAACAAAAGGGCTGTTCTAATCTACAGAACTATTCAGGGTAAAATGCTCCATTTTCCTGTGTTTAAGTTGTCCAGCAACAGCCTTGCAGCATGTGAAAAAATAAAATGATGACATTTACAGACAGTGCTGCGGGTTATATGTGCAAGCAAACACCGTTGCATGGAAATGTAACTGTTGTTCTACACCTGTTAAAGTCGCATTATTTAAAGCATACTGCACACCTGTGGTCATACTATAAAAAGTCCAACTTGCACAGGTCACAAGTGGCTTGATTCAATGAGAATCATCCTAATCAATCAGTTATATCTGACAGAAGTTTTCCCAGATAGTTACAGACAGACTAAGGTTTGCGCAAGAGTTCAGTTATTTTTAGTGTGTGTGTGTGTTTAGAGTGTGCGTTTACTCAGAGACAGGTTGGGCTGATTTGAAAAAATGTGTTGAAACTTAAAGGAAGGTGAGCAAAGAGCCCAGAGGAGCCATCAAAACACACTCTTCCTCCTCTTTGTGTTGCTGGTGCCTTCGTCCTGAGGAGGTGGGACGGTGCTGGTGGCTAATTGGCTGAGCTGGATGGTGGAGACTCTGATCTGCACGCGTGGGTCAGAGGTGATGCTTCCTCTCTTTGCTCTGGCATGTTGTGAACTGACTTATTCTTCCTGCATCTGTTGCTGCCTCACGTGTTGCTTCTACTGAGGTGAGTGGACGTGTACCTCTATTCATGTCAGGACATTTTGATTTAATTTTGGTAAACAAACACTCAGGTCTAAGAGGGAAAGTGTCTTCATTCAAACCACAAATGAGACAAACTTCCTTGAGTGAGTGATTTTATGTAAAACGGTTGGTGATTGTTTTTGTGCTTCTCTGTTTGTTTTACTGATTGTTAAAGATGTTCTGTCCTGTAATCGTGTGAACACGTTATCGTTACGGGCAGCTAAACAAGCTGCATGTATAAACAGTCAGTTTGATACATCTGGGCTTATTTACGTTTCTTCTTGTGTTCTGCATGCCCAACATTTCATGTGGTATAAGTTTGAAGCCTAACTGACCAACTTGACCGAAATGTTTAGTTTGCTGTGAGGACTTGATCTGTTGTTCAGCAGCTTTAGTGGTTCAGGCAGCGGTAGATCTCACTTCACACCTCAGCAGAGAAATCAGAGCAGATCAACACCCTCACTAGAGAATGTGACACCTCACACATCACACTACTGCTGTTCTCATGGCCCACAGTCTAATGTTTTGTGTGTTTTCAAAAACCTCCCAGGGTTACGGTCGTTTAAGAAAGCCAATCTCAGTTGGAGCAATCACAAAAAAAGCACAACTCCATTTTTCTCTCTTACTACAACTTTAATTTAAATACTTTCTTTCAGCTGTGGTTAAAAAGTACACTTGAGCAGGGGCAGATCATGAGAACCAGGGCTTCTAATGGTCAGAATGTTTTGTTTATTTATTTTTTTCTGGCACTGAACACTCGGAGGTCTCTGCTTTCCACAACCAGGAGGAGAATGAAATATGAAGACAAATTATCAGGAGCAAAAGCAAATCGCACCAAGCTAGTTTCCAATTAGTTTTTAACATATATTAAAAACTTTAAATATGTATTGTATATGCTTTGGTTGTACCACTTTACTACAAGAGTTTATCAGTGTTATTCATTATTAAACACTTTGCAGAACTTTAATATATGATTATTATGCATAAAGTAGGAATGAGCAAGAGAAAAAAAGGACAAATAGTGAGCCTAATCTGTTCATTTCATCTAGAGTATTTACTAATCATTTCAGACTAACTTACTACCTTAACTCAAAGATCTTATGTAAACATAATTTTTGGCATACTTTTTCACAGCATTATAAATATTCAAGACTGTTAGAAGGAGTGGTAAACGTTAGCAATATTAATGACTATTTACCCTTAATAATCACCAATTGTCATTAATACATTTTAATGGTCATTATTAACATTTTCATGTTTTACACTTTACAATAACACTCACTTTTATATGTGTGGGTGTTTATAATGCAGTTATAAAGTACAGTATTAGTCTGACATGTTTATTAAAGCAGCTTTAAATGAAATAAACAGGTCAACAGATTAGCATCACTATTTGGCAAGAAACTGGTCAGTTTAGCCTCTTTCTCGGTCATAAGTAATGCATAATAAACATGCTTCAATGATTTATAAAGTGTTACAGGTTAATTATTTATTACTTTAATTATTATTTAGTCATTTTGTAACGTAGTATCCTTGTGCTTAAAATACACTTTTCTGTGTATTTTATCATAAACCTTATAACCCTGTTGTAATGGGTTAGCGACACGTCTCCCTGCATCCGATCCTGCTGTTCTGTGTATCTTCATTTTCTACGTTTTGCAGCAAATTAAACGATCCTGTCATTTAAATATTTGAACATCCACTTTCTCTCCTTTTTACATCATGACAATGACTGAGCACTGCATTTAAACTCTAAATCACAAACAAAAGTCAGAGTGACGTGTTGTTTTCGAACACCTTCGGTGGGAGGAGCAGCAGCCCAGTGACACAGCCATTCAGTTATTTGAGACACTGATCTTTGTGCCGTAGGGACGTTGACAATGCCCAGTTAACGGACCTGCAGGGTGGGTTCAACGCTGGGAGGGTCAGTCATTTAAAAACGCTGTTCCCCATAGAACCTTGGGTTGAGAAGGTTAGGCATTGAGAATTATGGTTTCAATTCTGCTTGTCATTTGGAGTCACATCCTCTTCTCCTTGCAGAAAACAAGGCTTTCATCAGCGTTTTTCCAACATTAAGAATACAAGAACTGAGGAGCTCACATGTCACATCCTGGTGTCGCCATAATACTTCAGCAGCTCTTCATCTTTAGACTATTTATCATTTAGAAGTAGAGCTAAACTGTTTCAAGAGAACTGAGTTTAGATGAAGACCCATCAAGGCTTTTCCTGAGGATGACTATGATCCCTCCAGCAAGTTCATGGTCTTTCCCAGGGTCTGTTCCCACTGATGCATGCTCAGTAAACCTCCAGAGATACCTGAACAAATCAGCAAGGTGACGCTGCTCTGACCTCCGCCAGGTGATGAGGCTAATGAACTCTCGGTGGAGGAAGCTGATTTAAGCTGCTTGTTAATGTCTAACTTTTTTGGCCATGATGCAACTTTCATAAAAAAAGGAGAGGGTTGACACATTCCCTTCACTCTCAGCACTAGACTACCTCAGTGCATGCTGAAGGTCATGGCTGGAAGAAGCCAACAGAACCACATCATCTGCAGAAAAGCAGAAATGGGACCCCCAGAAGGTCAACGCCCTTCTCTCCACTCCTGTGCCTTTAGATCCTGTCTGAACCAGAATCAGGACTGGAGACAAGGACCAGCCCTGGAAGAAGACACTCCACTTTGGGAATGCTGGGAACAAACTTTCTACCGATAATGGGGACATAGTTGTGGTGTTCAACAGGGACTGTGTAGCCTTCAAATGCCCCTACCCACCCCTCACTTCAATCAAAATATAATGAGATGTCTTTCTTTTTGTTGGCTTTATTCTCTATCCCTCTTTTGGGGACCGGTTCTTTAGCCTACATTAAGAACTGAGAGCAGCAGCAGAATATTCTTGAATATATATTTTATTTCTCACAACCTGAGTGGAAGGTCCGTGACACCAGATGTGCGTCACTCATTTATCTGCTCTAAATGTTGTTTGGACCTTGGACTGGTGTTCACTCCCCCGTGTGTGTGTGTGTGTGTGTGTGTGTGTGTGTGTGTGTGTGTGTGTGTGTGTGTGTGTGTGTGTGTGTGTGTGTGTGTGTGTGTGTGTGTGTATGTGCGTGTGTGTGTGTGTGTGTAACCACTGCTCCATAAACAGATGGACAAAGTTCACCTGGCTGAGCAGATTAGTACCGAGCCACCTCTTGAACAAATGCAAACAGAAAAACACTTTCTGCCGGTTTGTTGTAGTGAAATCAAACATTGCAAAATTTTGTTCCGTTCCTGCAGTCCATTTCCCAACAGCATGTGTGTGGTTTCTGCCATGCAAGCGCTTTCCTTTGCTGCGCTTTTGGTTTTTGTTTACCACGCGAAGCACGGCTTCAGGAGGGGAACGGGTCCATCGTTGAGATAATTGGCAGTCACTCAGCCGCTGCATCAGTAACACTAACATCCATTTTCCACATTTAACAGCAGCAATGATTCTACTTCCTGGACAAGAACAAACACCACGATGCTTCTTATCAACTTCTCACTCTTCCTGTCATCTGCCAACTCCATAAAAGATGCTTAAAACCGATTTCCTTTTGAAAACAACCAAACAAAGTGCTCAGAGGTTGTGCCTCGCCAGAATTATTTGCAAAAGTTATAAAATGGAGATAAGAAAATAGTCCCACAATCCCCATGATGAAGTCAGTTTATTTTTCATGAGGCTGTGTTTTTCCAGGCTTTTGATTCTCTTGTCACTTTCTTTTTCATGCAGCATATCTATGAGGAAAACTCTCAGTTATACCCTTTAAACTCACCGTTGAATGACCCTAACCATCCCACTGCTTCCTTTACCTCAGAGCTAAGGTTACAGTGCCTCAGGAGAATTGTGAATTTATCCAAATGCAGACTCTGAGCCTTTCCTAGACTAAAACTTTGCAGCAGAAGAGCTTCTGTGACTTATTCAACATTGCCAGCTCCTCTGGGGAATCCAAAGCATTTCCTGGCCAGACAAGGGACCGTCCCTCCAGCGTGTCCTGGGTCTTCTTTTAAGTGTCCTGGTTGGGCGTGTCCAGAGAACCTCACCAGGAAGGCATCCTAACCAGATGCCCGAGCCACCTCAACTGGCTCCTCTCAATGTGGAGGAGCAGGGGGTCTACTCCAAGCCCCTCCCGGATGACTGAGCTTCACTTCGGCCGCTTTTGTCCACCAACTTGTTATTTCGGTCACTACCCAAAGACCATATAGTGAGGGCAGGAATGTAGATAGACCAGTAAATTGAGAGTTTCACCTTCCGGCTCAGCTCACTCTTCACCACAGCAGACCAGTTCAACACATGCATTATTGTAGGTGCAGCACCAGTTTGCCTGTTGTCCATCTTTCACTCAATCGTGAACAAGACCCCGAGATACCTAAACTCCTCTTGGAGCAGGACCTCATCCCTGACCCGCAGAAGGCAGTCTACCCTTTTCTGACTCAAGCTCCTGTGACCCGCTCCAGCAAAAGCTGGAGATCATGATCTGATGAAGCCAACAGGACCATATTATCAGCAAAAAGCTGAGACTCTATCCTTAGTCCACCAAAATGGATCGCCTCAACACCTTGGCTGCCCCTAGGAATTCTGTTCATAAAAGTTATGAACAGAATCGGTGATAAGGGGCAGCCTTGGTGCAGTCCAACTCTCACCAGAAACAAGCTAGACTTCCTGCACGTAATGCACCCCCCAGGACCCTTCTAAGGGTATAGAGCTGGTCCAGCGTTCCACGGCCAGGATGAAAACCACACCTTTCTCTCCAGAACCCCAGAATAGACCGTACCAGGAAAGCTAAGGAGTGTAATCCCTCTAATCAGCTAATGAATCCAAAACACCAACTAAGGGTTCCTGAGCCTTCAGATCAGGCGTGGGGAACCCTGGTCCTCGAGGGCCGATATCCTGCATGTCTTTGCTCCAACACTTCTAATTCAGTAGTTGATTCACCTGTTCTGCAGCACATCAGGCTCTGCAGAAGCCTGTTAATCCCGTGCTGACTGAAATCAGGTGTGATGATGCAGGATTGAAACTAAAATATCCTGGATGGCGGCTCTCGATGGACCAGGGTTCCCCACCCCTGCTTTAGATGGTCTCTCAGTCTAAGTTGAATCACTGACATAAATGGACTTTTGCACCATTTTCAAGGTTCACCTGTATACATAGATGTTTTGCACACTGTGATCTCTCAGTTTGTTTTCCCATCAAACCTATCTAGACATCAGAAAAGAGATAACAAGTCTCGTTTTTGGAGGTCTACCTATCCAGCATGTTTTTGTGTTTTCTCTGCTCCAACACAACTGGTTTTAATCAGCAGTTGCTTAACAGGCTTCTGCAGAACAAGTGATTGAACTATGGAACCAGGAGCTTTTCCTTGTTATCAAAGCCGCTTTAAATTCACTCGTTCACCAACTAAGAAGCTCTGACTTTGAAATTAAGGGGAGTATCTTTTAGGAATGCTCAGCCTTTCATTTATTAGTTTGAATCTTTCAAGTTTAAGGTTTGTTTTTAGAAACAATTGTAAATGTTTATTGTATTAACTTTTTTCTGCAGATTTAACCAAAAAAAGGGATGATGATAAAAAGTCTTTCTGATTACTTTAGCTAAAAATACATTTTGTATTTAAAAACTTATAATAAAATGACAATGTTCATGAGAGTGCACCAATAAGTCTCTGTAAAAAATGCATTGTACAGTCAGTCTACAACTTATAATAGTTATGTTATAAAATTTACTTATTATCCAAACATTTCCAAATTTATTCGTTTTTTATTTAATTGTTAATATTGGTGCATGTTTCATTAAGATCTAAACAGCCAACAACAGCAGACACCCTTTACAACCTGTAATATAAAAACTGAGCCAGTATGAAGGTGAAAGGTCGCGATCTGTCATCCCTGTGAATGCATGTGGTTAAAGATGTGGGTAGACAACATCTGTGACTATTAGAATATCATATCTGGTTGTTGGTTAACACTGGCCCAGCTGCAGAGGTAATACCCACTCAGATCTAAAATGGAAACTGAACAGTTCAATATTACCACAAAAACAAAACCATTTTATTCTATTATTAAACATAAGCATCAATTAACTTCAAGGCTTTTGATACTGGAACAGAAGTGGTCTATAAACATTTGTTAAAATATGATCTTTAGCTACTTTCAACATTCAGTATGAGACAAAGAGGAAACCCTGCGGTTTTATGGTTTTGATTGATAGAATTTAAACCACAAATTCACCTTTTAGTTAAGCGTGCAGGAACAGAGACCTCGTCCGTTCTGAATCATGCAGAGCGCTTGGCCTCAGATACAGGAAGTCTCTTCAGCTCTGGCCGAGGGAAAGACGTGGAAGGAATGTGGGAGATGGAGGAAGGGAGACCCAGAGGCAAAACAGACAGACAGACATGTTTAGGCATAAATGTTTCCATCGGCTGATCTTTCTTGCTGTTTGCTTTATTGTCATTTGTTCATATTTATTGTTTGTTTATATTTCCAGCAATGGGTCTGAATGCAGCTCTGGGAAGTCTTGTTGTTTTCATCTGGATGCCAGAGATCTGGGCAAGACTAGCACAAGGTGAGCTCAGTTAAACTAAAGAGCACACACACACACTCACACAGAAGTGTTTTTAACCCTTCGAGCCCAGGTGTCCCATAATACCTGCCTGGTGGAGCAAACCAAACAACTGGCTCCATTCTAGAAGAATGTGACCACCCTCTAGTGGTCACAAGTAGAACAGCTTCAACATGAAATAAACATGCATTACATTTTTCCAGTCTCCTCCATCACTGCCAAATTGAATGTGCAACATAAAAAACAGTAAATAAATCACTTTGTGTTTCCAGAGAGATGCACTGACTACAAGCTTCAGTTTGAGCGGGTTTTCTCTGTTCCTGGAGACACAGCCATGCTCAACAGCACCCTGCTCTCACCGGATGTACTAAACTACACAGCTGTCCCGTACAACATCACCTGGTACAACTCAAAGACCGGCCAAGAAATGAGCAACCAGACTGGGCGGATCCTGGTGCTAGGAGAGACGCTTTGGTTCCTCAATACAACACTGGAAGATGCAGGAGAATATACGACCGTTCTGCGGTGTGTGGTCAACAGTAGGAACATACATTAGTAATACTTTACAGCAAGGAGCAGAATATTTACAGACGGATGTGGGGTGAAAGAAAGCTCTTCTAAATATGAGCTCATGTTTGAGTAATGATTGTGAAAAAAGATGCAAGAGTGCAACAGCCTTTGCTGCATGATGATTTGCTGCCATTTCCCCCACAGAACCCCACTGAGCTGCTTCATGCAGTCCACTAAGCTTGTGGTGGACACACCAAACGCTGGCGAGTGTGAACGACCACAGAAAACCTCTCAAGAGCTTACGGATGGAGTGGCTGACCATCTGAACTGCCCGCTGGGGGAATATATTTACAAACTGGAAAGCTATCGCATCACTTCCTCTATCCAGTGGTACAAAGTGAGTTCTACTAAGTCCAGCAAAAATCAGCTCTTCTTTTATTTTATTAAACAAACTCTTGTGGTTATTTTACATGTTTTAGGATGTAAAATAAAGATAATAATTTCAAAGGGGACATTTGATATTTCTTTGTAATTTCCTTTCCTTATCCAGGGTTGTGAGCCCATACTGGATGGAAGTGACAAGTATGCGTACTGGGACAGGACCTTACTGAATATCAAAAGGGTGGAACCTGAAGACAGCGGCACCTACACCTGCACTCTGTCATTTACTCTGGGGGGAGTTACAGGATCTGTGTCAGAGAGCATTGATGCACCAATCAGAGGTCAGAACAGATACTGGATTAATCAGATGTATACCGGTATATATCCAAAATGTCCTCAGGTGAAAATGGATGTAAAGATCCCTTACCTCCACTGACTTAAAGCTGTGATCTGTAACATGATGTTATAAAAAAGAGGATACACAACTCTATTGGTCAACACTCTAGGCTTGTGTGAATATATATATATATATATATATATATATATATATATATATATATATATATATATATATATATATATATATATATATATATATATATATATATATATATATACTTTTTTTTTTGGTAGAGGCCAAAGGACAGATTTAGGGAAAACAACAATTATGAAGGATGGCCTACTTTGTACTATAGAACAGTCAGATAGTCACATTTCAGCATTTTTAAAGGTACTTAAACAAGCTTTAAATGCACAATGTGTACAAACAGTTGACTCCTTAGCACCATGAAGTTCAGAGTAGGCTACAGTAGCCCGCTCACATCAAACGGTAATGTGTCATTGTTGCGGTGCGCGCTCGGCTGCGAGGGGAAGGTAGACACTGTAGCACTGACAGCTACTTAGGGGTCACACACAGATAACACCACACTCCAGCTTTCAGTCGTCGGCACATGACTGTTTCTGCTGCTCTGCTGCTTCCTGCAGCCTTCCCTGAAGGTGTTTCCTTCAGGGAACCGAGAGCCTTCTGTCCATGTCATGTGAGTACATGTAAAACGAGTCTGATATGCAGCAGCTGTGTCTTTTCGCTCCAGTGCTGTCGCTTCTACCTACGTCTACTGTATCGCTTGTCTCCCTCTCCCCCACAGCCGTGCACGCTCCACCACCGTTATAAACAATGACCAGCTTTCAATCCAGTGATCCCATGTGGTTAGAGCAGAGCAAGCAGCCCAAAAGGAATAGGGCAGAGTTTCTCCAAACCAGTAAGGCTGCCACAGAGAGAACCAGCACCATCTCCTGTAAGTTTAGAGGGAGAAGAACTTTCAGGTCAAACTGAAAACACTGAGCAGCATATCTTGTATGTCTAAGAAACTCTAATTTCCTTCTGGGATTAATAAAGTATCTTTGATTTGATGACTATGGAGCTTTGACCAGTTTATGTAAATGAAAATGTGAAATGTCAAGCTAATTAAAGTAGAAGTTGAAAATTTTCAATGAAAAAGGACAAGTTTGGGAACGAATACACAGCTTTTGATAATAAACAAGTCGTTATCACTAATAATCAGAATAAATATCTCATTACATGTATCTGTTGGTCTTTTCAGACGAGTACTCTTTGGTTCCTCAAGTTCATGAGCCAACAAATGAAATTATCAAGGCAAAAATAGGTAAGACCACGTTTTTGTCATTTGAATATTCAATGGTTATTTATATAAACCTGCTTAGGCTTTGACCAAACCAAATGTGTTTTCATCTGATTGCCTAACTTACGAGGGACTGAAAGAACAAAAAGGACGAGTTACACACCAAATAATAAAACCACTAATATCTGCTTATTTGCTTCTTTACACACTTTATTATTTCCCTTAAATTTATTGTTTCTCCAATAAATATATTTCTTTGATGTGTCTGTTGGATCACGCAACCAGTCAATGTGTTTTGAATGTCCACTGCAGTGAAAACATGTAATCAGATTAGCTACATTAAGTAATAGTAGTAGCTGTAAATAGTTTCATCTGTTTAAATTTCAGGATCCAATTTGACCGTGAAGTGTCTGGTGTTTGTGCCGGGTGTTGGAATCCCATTTGTTGATGTCCTCTGGTTGGTCAGAGATGATTTTATCTTTGATACCAGTCCTCCTGCAAACGTCTACACGTCAGAACCAAGGTTAGACCTTCAGCTTTTTCTAAACGGGTTTATTTGTTACATTTAGGGTTAGGAAGTTACTTTTGTCATCTGTTTGTTCTCAACAGCGTGTGGAGCCAAAAGACACCCCAAGAAGGCGTGTGGTTTGAACGAATGCTCTTTATCTCTGAGCTAAAGAAGGAGGATTTCTACATCAACTACACCTGTCAAGCTTCCAGCTTCCGTGGCGTTCCTAAGGGATATTTTACTTTGTTACCATCAGGTACAAACCACACAGATCATCACAATATTGTTGTTTTCTTTACTTAATCAAATGCCCCAGCTGTTCTAATAATCTAAAACATGTGAAGCTCCTGCAAAGCCCGACACTGCCCTAAAAAGACTATTTATCATGACAAAAAGTATTTATAAATTATACAAAATCTATTTTAAACACTTTTAGACTTACATCAGTTTTGCATCACATGGATAATCCTATAAAAAGCATGAAGTGCCCCTGCTGCAGTAGAAGTGCTAATCATATGAATGTTTATGTTTGGGAAGGTTCTCAGTAATCTGTGCACTTGGAGCTGCAGCATGGCTGCCATTATTCTATTGTTGTATAAACATATTTTTTCAGGAAGTAGTTTTTAAGTTCAATTTAAAATGTCAGGAGATACAATGTTGCACTTAAAAGTACACTTCTAATACAGTGTGTACTGGCAAAACCAGTGTAGTCAGTAGCTGCTGATGTAACTTATTAAGTAACTTGTCATTGAATTTACTTACTTTCAAAGTAAAGTAACAATTAATGTAACTAAGATAACTTTTCACAGTTGCATGGCAGTTCACGTAATCAGTGGCAATCCCAGATCATTTTCATGGAGGTGGTCAGTTGAGGCCAGAGGAAATTTAGGGGGTGACACACCAGATTGGTCGGTGTGGAGAGTGGTGATGCATTGCATGCTCATTTCTCATTGAAACAACATGCAACCAACACACTTACCTCAAATTTTGATGAACACAAATTTTTCTGAAAAAGAAAAACTGTTATTTATAATGTTACTTTACATTTTAACTTTAATTACTGACTTCACAAAAGCATCTATAAACTGTAAAGATTGAAACTTTTGTTTTGAAAATGGTGAGCAGGAGAAACTTAAATACTTTATAACTACGGAGCTAGGATTGGGACAATATTACGTATATTATAACATATCATATATAACATATTTTGTTACTGTAACTTTCGTTTTGTAGCATATAATTCACATTTTGCAACTTGTAACTCACGTTTTGTAACACGTTATTCTCATTTTGTAACATATACCTTTGGTTTTGTAACATGTAACTTCGGTTTTGTAACATGTAACTTCGGTTTTATAACATGTAACTTTGGTTTTGTAACTTACAGGAAAAAAATCTCTGTACAATTTTTCAATCACAACTCTCAAATCACACATCTCAGTCTACAGTTACAGAACTCAAGTCTGTGTACAAATTCTAGCTTCCTTCCCAAGGAACCAATGACAAGAATTATATGCTGCAAAATGGAAGTTTTGTGCTACATTATGAGAATTACACTAAAAAAAATAGAACTTTGGGGTTACTAAATGAAGATCATGTGTTACAAAATTAAAGTTACAGTTACAAAACATGTTACAAATGACAAAACTTTGTACAAGTTACATGTAATATTATCCCAATCCTAGCTCCATACAATACTGGATATTTATTTACTCTTTAATTGTATTTTTTGGGGGGGTTACATTTATGTTTGATTAAATAACATGAATTTGTAGTTTGTGTGAGCATTAATATGATTCATTAAAGAAGATTGGTTTCCATGGTGTGGCCAGTGGGGTGGCCAGCAATTTTCTAACAGTAGCCCTGGCCACCCCTTGGGGGCGCCACTGCACGTTATGTTGCTTTGCAGGGTGCAAAATCTAATTTTCTGAAGAGAGGCCATTAAGGGAGATATCTAAATAAAACTACATCTGTTAGCTACTCCTTGGTCCTCTTTTCATACAGGTACTTGCTACACAAAGTTGTTTTTTAACACACTAGGGACGATCAGTACTTCTTTTCTCCTTCAGTTCTGTGGGTCCTCATTCTCTCTTCTGGCTCTTGTGTACAGGGAGTGGCACAGCTCTGGGTGTATGCAACCCCACACCAACAACCCCTTGAAAATATTTAGAAATACCTATATTGCTTCACCATTTTTTCTAAATATTTAAAAAATGTTTTAAAAGTTAAATGACCGTTTAAACTTTTTTTCAATTGTAACGTAGGAAAGATGAAACTCGTTTGCGTTTTTCTGTCCTACTCTTTTTAGGTAACAACAGCAAAATTAAAACCAAATCTGTGTTGTGTAGATGAGACTGAAGGACTAATAGCAAGAGAACGAACAAGCATTCATTTACTTGAAAGGTCACACTAACCAACTTGTGCCTGGACGTTTTTCCCCCGTTTAGCTCGAACTTCTTCTCATGCTGCATTGTCGAGTTTTCAGTCGTGCATCCCTCTAACGTCTAAAAAGTTCATTTAATTAGCCTGGGGAGATTAGAGCCAGATAAGACTGTTTAAAATAATTACAATTTGCCAAACTTAGTGTTGATAGATAGATAGATAGATAGATAGATAGATAGATAGATAGATAGATAGATAGATAGATAGATAGATAGATAGATAGATAGATAGATAGATAGATAGATAGATAGATAGATAGATAGATAGATAGATAGATAGATAGATAGATGATAGATAGATAGATAGATAGATAGATAGATAGATAGATAGATAGATAGATAGATAGATAGATAGATAGATAGATAGATAGATAGAATTATAATGAAGCTTCCATCCATCCCTGATCACAGAGTTATCTAAGATGGAGATAAAATATAATATTGATTTTCTGTTATGTGTGTTTCTTTCTGATTTTTGCAGATCCAGACATTTTACTTCCCGTTGGACTTGTCTTCTGTCATGTGGTTGTTCTCTTCATTGTCAGCGTCACCGTCTACTATATCTTTAGGATCGACATTGTGCTGTGGTTTAGAAAAGTCTTTCCGTTCCTCTATAAAAATAAAGGTAATGCAACCCAAATGTGTTTGTTTGATGGTTTAATATTTGAAAATTGGACAAAATAAAAGCATAATAGTAAAAACAAAATGAAACATGAGGCGTTTGCTTGTGGAAAAGCCAACTGATGTTGTTTGACTTGGCGAGAGGAACGCGGCACAGCGTACTCACTCATTAATCAAAGTTCACAGGATCACAGTCGTTACCTCAAATCTGACCGCATGTGTTCGCAGAGCACACAGACAGAGGAAGTGAAGTAACCACTGGGCCACCTGCATGTTTCTGATTAAATGTCTCCCGCTCTGCATATGGAAGTGGGTCACAGATAGTTACCAGAATAATGCTATTCTGCATTGACTTGCATGTAAAACCACAGCGTGTGATGTGAAAACCCGCAATGTTGAGTTCAGCGCAGTATAAATTCAACACTTTTAGTTGTGTTCATATAAAAAATGTTACCTTTTTCCAAAAATGTGGACAAACTTGTTTTAAGTGTTTCTGCATAATGGCTTCTTTTCTTTGTCAGATCTGGATGGGAAACTTTACGATGCCTACGTGGCGTACCCCCAGTCTGGTTCCTTTGAATTTGGTGGAGACGTGGAGAGGTTTGCCTTGCACACGCTGCCTCAGATACTGGAGCAGGCCTACGGCTACAAACTCTTTATAGCAGGTCGCGACTGTCTGCCTGGGCAGGGTGAGTCCTACAGGATACAGTTTAAACCCAGAACTGCTCTGCTTTTAAGTGACAAGCATGGTTCCCTTCTTCTAGAAAAAGTGATCTAATGGTGACCAAATAGTACAACAAACCCATTAGATAACATCCTAATATAATTACTGGTCTCATTTTCATGAGAAATAAAATAAATAAATAAAATAAACATTTTAAAATCCTACAAGATTGTTTCTGAGGAGCTCTTTAATCAGCAGTTCTGAACCCAGAGGGGTTTTTTGTAGAGCAGCTGTAATACAGGATGTGGTTGGAATAAACTGTGTCAATAACACATGGAGTTGATTGTGTTTTAAGTGCATGCAAGCATATTTCTAACTCCCCAGTTCCTCACCTATCCTATTTTTCATCCTTCAGCCACAGTGGACTCTGTAGAAGAGAACATCCAAGCCAGCTGCCGCATCCTTCTGCTCTACACCGCCTCTACTTTCATTGGCAAAAAGCACACAAACAGCACCAGCAGCAACAACAACAATGTTCCCATAAGCAGAGCCAACAAATCTGAAACCGACACCAGTGACAGCAGCGTCACAAGTTTTTATGATGATGAAAAGGTCTTCTCAGACACGCGGCAGCCGCTGGAATCTGTAGCAGCAATGCACAGAGCCCTGCTGGAGGGATCACTGAAGGTACTGAACCAGAACTGTGAGTGCAGAGGTCTTTTCTGCACCACTATTTAAAAATGTTCATAATAAAACAACAAAAAGTCCAAGTCAATCCAAAAAATATATAAAACAACAGAAATCAGAATTTGTTTGATATGTTATAAGATGACTATATTGTTCTAAGTCCATCCCAGGTCTAACCTAACTGTTCCTTTCCAGGTGATCTTGGTCGAGTTGGAGGAGATCAGCCCAGATCAGTTGGCCCTGTTCCCTGAGTCGGTGCGCTACCTGAGGAAGAAGCAGGGTGCTGTGTGTTGGTGGAAGCACGTGCAGAAGAAGCAGACATGGAGGATGTGTGTGAGGGAGAGAGATGAGGAAAAGCATGGCCAAGACTCCCGGTTGTCTCTGTCTCTATGTCCTTCATCCAGGTTCTGGAAGGAAATTCGGTTTCACATGCCTGTCAGGGGCAAGAGGGTGGAGTATCCGGAGAAAACTGCCCTGTTGAACTTGTGATGAGGTGTGTGTGTGTGTGTGTGTGTGTGTGTGTGTGTGTGTGTGTGTGTGTGTGTGTGTGTGTGTGTGTGTGTGTGTGTGTGTGTGTGTGTGTGTGTGTGTGTGTGTGTGTGTGTGTGTGTGTGTGTGTGTGTGTGTGTGTGTTGCTGAGCTAGTACAACAGCAGCGAGGTCAGATTGCAGGACAGGTGCAACAAGATCCTCTGAGCAGAAACATCACCTGACTTTTCACTGTGTTGCTGTTTAACCTGAGTTTGAACTTTCTGAGATGTCCTAATGTCAAGAATGGAAAAAAGAAGCAACAACAGCTCGTCTGCATGTCTGCAGAATCTGGATCGTCCAAAGTTTACATAAAACAAGTGAACGTTTAGATTTTTCTATATTAAGAAAATGTAAATATGTAAATAATACCGTCAACTGTGAACACTTGCACATGCTGCCTTTCATTTATTGTCTAAATAGAAAAAATATATTAAAATAATATTTTATGAAAGAAAACTATTGATGCAAGATATTAAAGAAAACTATATTAATATATGGCTGGAATCACACATAAAATCCTCATTAATATGTAATGTCCCAGCACTGTGCAAATGCCCCCAACCCACATCGATCAGACCTTGTTTTATTTTATCCAGTGTCATAAGAAGAAGTGTGTGTAATGGAGAAGATGACTGTTTTTAAGTTATCCTGGAGAAATATAACTTTACCTGCAAAACCAGAAAGAAACAAAATTCTGTGTTTTTTTTTAACCTTAGCTTTAGAAGGACAGAGACTCTGAATACGGGTGAATTGGCTAAACTGTCTGGTAGTAAAGCCGAAGGCAGAGCTGCAACATGTCACAATTTATATTTTAGTCTAATCTGAAGAGCAAAGGGGAGCACGTTCAGACTCAAGCTTGAATTTTGTGTTGTTTGTCTTTCACATCAATACTGTTTATTCTTTTTTTTCCCCAATCAATATTTTTCACCCCTATTAAATGTGCTTTGTATAAGTTGTCCAACTCTGGTTGTTTTTCTTTGTGTGATAAAATAAGGCAATGGGTTTGACCTGAAGTCTTCTTTTACTTTGTTCTAATGTCAGCCATCTTGGAGTTGATTTTTAAAGAGCCAGTAGAATTTAAAGGGGCAGTATGTACGAATATAGTAAGAATTTTACAATGAGATATTTCATATCCAGTTGGCTGCGGGGATTGTCAGTTTTTCTCCTTTTAAAACAAAGAAAGGAGTGACGTAACTACTGTTAACCAACAGTGAGTGTGGGGGTACCGTGTCTCCTGTGAGCTAATTTTGCAGCGCTGACAACTGTAATTTGACGTTGGCTGGCAAAAAGTTCCAGGATTGTTTAAAGTGGTTGCGGTAACCAAATCTTACCACAAGATGTCATTTTTACTTCATTGTTATGTAATGCACCTTTAAAACCATATTCAACTTGTTGTTGAATAAAAGCAGCTTTGGGTGTCAAATGTAGCATACCAATAGCCTGACTGGTGACCTGCTTTCCGATGTTAATTAGTAATATTGTAAAAGGTGAGAGTTTGCTCTGAGAAAATCTGGTTTAACACAATGTAAGCTTAGACCCATAAATATATATGTCCCAACCCACTTCGAATTTGGCACTGTTGCGGTAATGCTAACTGCAGAACAACGCTAGCCTTGCGCTACTGTTATCACTAGGCTAATGCTAATGCTGGCCCAAGCTTATGCGAACATCTTTGTTGGATAACAGAAAAACAAAGAAGAATGCTGAAGCAGTCACATTCAAGGATTTAATGGGATGCTACCCTTCTGAAAAATGCAGCACAGACGAGCATGGGGGTTATCAGCATATGCTGTGTTTTGGTGCTAATCTAGCTGGTCCAAGATGGGATGCTGGACCAGCGTTTCATCACCATCATCCCATGCTAGACTAGCATACCAGCACCCAACAAAACATAGCCTATGCTGGTCTATGCATGCTTCTTTTTGTTCAGCAGGGTAACATCCTTTTTTGTCGAAAACCCACAAGCTGCTGGACAGTCATTTTGTTCCTTTTGATTCCTTTTTTAGAAATAGTTGGAAAAAGGTATTTCCTGTCTATAATACTTTTAGGGACATTCTGCTTTGCACAATTCTTGAATTTTTCATTCTAAACTTTTTCTATTGACCATTTTCTTCATCATTAATATGTACACTACTTGCTTTCTATGACCACTATTAAGCTGTACTTGAAGCTGTTGTCCTGTGAGCCACCTATCATGCAAGCTGTTAACTCTCAGAAACATACCCTCTGATGCTTTGGGCCAGCCAGACCTCTTCCTGTCAGTTTGCCCCAGTTTCTGAATGCCTTTTGATGGTGAAGGAAACTGTACTCACTGACACGTTAACTTTCTTTGCAATTTCTCTGTAAGAAAGCCCTACATTTTAAGTGTTATGATGATCTGTCTCTCTTCCATTGTTAACTGCCTTTTTCTCGCCATTTTTGTAGCAACACACTATTATCTGCAGTACAATGTTCAACTGATGCTCACGAGGGTATGGTACCACAGTATGTTCTAACACTGCTTTTATGCAGACAGAGGGGGTTGTAAGTAATCCAGTAAAGTTGGAACACCTGTGGGAATTAGTAGCACCAGCTTTCAAGGCTTGATCAACCTCCATTGCTGCAGGACAGCTGTGTTCCCCGAAAAATAATTTTTGTGTCATTCTGAAATGTACAATATTTTTCAGTTTTGAGTAACCTTACCTTTTTTATCCTTGGCAGTTCACCACTTAATGACTTGAATGACTTAAACTGCAATAAATAACAGGAAAAACGTGGGCGTTCCAAAGCTCCTAACCATGCATGGAGGGTTCCATCCCAAATCTAGCACTCTGAGATTGCACACTAGCCGTAAGGTAGGAAGCTGAGGACTAGTGAGTGTGAGAGCCACTGTCCAGGATGAAACATCCAAGATCCATATGTTCATCAAGGATAAGGCCCCAACAGATGACATGCTCAGTTATTGCCTCAGACAATGGTGAACTGAGGAGGAGATGCTGGAAATACCACAGTGGGAGGGCAAACCCCCACATGGGATGTACCACAGGCAGATAACTGAAGTGGCTGATATCATGAAATCCTACCAATGGCAAGAAAGAGCTGGTCTGAAGGACACCACAGAGACACTCATCATGGCTGCACAGGAACAGTCCCTGAACACCAGACCAACAGAGGCTAAGATCTACCACACCAGGCAAGACCCAAGGTGTAGGCTATGCAAAGAGGCCGCTAAACAACGGAGGACAGCTGTTGTCGTTGATGGGGAAATACCAAGTGATGGCAACATCAGGAAAAAGGAACATGAGAAACTTTAGAAGGACCAGGGCCTCAAAGAAGAACTTGAGAAAGCCTAGTGAATGAAGATACTTGGGGCAGAAACCCCCAAACTGGAGTAGTGGCTAAAGCAGATCCTAGGATAACCACCAGACATCTAAGTCCAGAAAAGTGCAGTTCTAGCCAAGATACTGTGCAGAACCCTCAAGCTCCCAGGCGACTGGTAGAGGACCCGAGCTTGGAAGGATGAGACCACCCACGCAGGATGAGATGGGAATTTTTGTATATACAATACAGGCCAAAAGTTTGGACACACCTTCTCATTCAGTGTCTTGCCTTTATTTTCATGACTATTCACATTGGTAGATCCTCAGTGAAGGCATCAAAACTATGAATGAACACATGTGGCATTATGTACTGTAGAGTTAATTCTGCACACTGGAATCACCTCTGTGCTATTCAGTGGAGATTCCGAAAATGACCAATCAAATTAACCTATGAAGCTTATATCATATATATAAATATCCCGGATACTTATATATCGATCTAAGTTCATACATCAACCTGTTTGATCTAATTTTAATCCAAAGATTAATGTTTAATTTAGATAATTAAATTTAATAGCTAAAGTTATTTTAAATCAGAAGCTATGATCTTTGCATTCAAATAACCAGAATTGTTACCTTTTCTGTGTTTCGTTTCAATGATGAGGCAAGTTTAAAAATGAAGAAATTTTATTACTAACAATTTTAAACTAAGGATTTGAAACGACAATTATAAAATGACTATTCGTTGATGGCAATTTTAATGACAATCTTTAACAGCTTTGATATTAAACTTGTTTTAAAAGCAAACCTGTGACTGAATGGAGCTAAAATGAGAATGGTGAGGTTTGGATGTGTGAATGAAGTTCTCAGAAGGTTTCTTTCAGAGAGAATGAAAGCGTTCTGGGTGGAAATGATGTTTTACGGATAACTGAGTCTACCTCACCCAATCAGAAGACCCCCATTTGGATCCGAAGTGTCCAGGTGGAGATGAGTTTCCTCCAGGCACGAGGTTGGTAGAAAAACCTCTAGCACCACCAGATCGGTCCTGAGATGTCTTCTTGGGTCACTCTGTGTATGAAGCGTTTGGCAGATGAACGTTCTCGTCTTTAACTTAACTTCAGAAATCAATGACTCTGCTAGAGTCTTCGTAGCTGGTTTACGGTTCCGTTTATTCTTTGGCCATTCTTGTCGGCGTGACAGAACAGCTTGGTAGAGGGTCTGGGCGGCCGTCCCGTCTCCTCAGGCTGACGTTGGTTTCAGAACTGAACATGAATCTGTGATGGTTACAGTTTTACCAAAAGCTCTCAGGACCACTCCCACTCTCTCCGGAAGAAAGCTTGCTGATGTGTCAAAAACATGTGATGCAGTTATTGTTTATCTGAACTCTGTGTTAGCTGGATAGGGTGACTTGACCTTGTTGCTAAACACATCTTTAATCATTATAATAATAATTATTATTATACCCACATCATAATAATCCATTTCATGTCATTAAAATACCTTTATATTAACCAAGTGATCATGTTATGATGATTATATTAAACAGTAATAAAATCAATGAATTTATTAATTATTATCTAATTATTATCATCGTGGCTTGAAGTGTACTTCTTGGGACGGAACAGCAGATATGATGTTATGATCTTGAGCAGACATCGTGGATCCTTGGGTTAATCTGTGGATTCAAAAAGTACTGTTCAACCCAGCTTGACCCAGATGGGTAAATGTGACCTTTGCCACACATTAGAGAGCCTTCATCACGCTACAGTACTTAACCAAAAAGGTGAAATAACTGAAAACATGAAAATAGACACTCTTTGCTCTGATTACTGATGTGCACACTCTTGGCATTCTCTTGATGAGCTTCAAGAGGGAGTCACCTGTTTTCCAACAGTCTTGTGTCACGGTCTGTCTTGTCTCCTCAGTTTCTGTTCAGCCCTGTGTCCATGTTAATTGCTCTCACCTGCCTCTCTACTCCAATCACTGGAGGTCCCAGCTCCTTATGTATTTAAACCCTCTCAGTGCTGTGTGTCTTGTCTGTTCATTGTTTCCTTGTCTGCGTGCTTTTCATTTAAACCAGTCAATAGGTCCTCACCAGCCTTTTGTTTGACTCATCTGCATGTGGATCCTCACCTCAGCCACTCACCTCAGCAGCAATGACATCTTGAAGGAGTTCCCAGAGTTGTTTAGCACTTGTTGGCCCCTTGGTAAATGGTCATGGTCATGAAAATAGAGAAAACACATTGAATGAGAAGGTGTGTCCAAACTTTTGGCCTATACTGTATATAGAGCTCCGGACGTCACGTGACTCTCAGAGAGTAGACGCCATGTTGGCAGGCAACAAAGGTAAACAAAATGAACGGGATCAGCTTGGATTTTACTCCGTCGAAGTTTACTTCACACTTTAAAACCGAAGAAATCGTTTCAAATAGTCAGAAATTAAATAGACTAAACATCTCCGACCCTTACCGTGCCCCTGGGATACTTTTTAAAATGCAAGAAGCTGTCTGAGCGAAGCTCTTACTGGATTTGAGATACCCTGACATTTATAATTTGTTAATTTCCCCTCATCCTACTCCAGCACAAATCCATAAAACTAATGAAAAAAACACACAAATAACATAGATTTCCACGTAAGAAGTTTAAATAGAGTGCTGTGCTGTTTGAATGTATAAACTGAACGGCAAGAGAAATCACTAGTTAGATTTTTTTCCGTGAATAACATAAATATGTCAGGCAGGAGCGTCTCAGGATCTGTCTGAGATCTGTCTCGGTGAGACAGATAATAGCAATCCAAAGTGCTTTTTATGTGTGATCTGACAATTGATCAACCATTGCTTAAAAATTAAATACAGCTTAGCCGGTTAATTGCTGTGGTCATAAAACACATACACGGCAGCACGCAGAAATCACGAGACAACGTTTTACGTGATGTTTACTTGCTGCTGTGAGTAATAAGACAGAAAAAGCCACGCCAAAATAAGTTTAGGAAGCCCACTAAGAATCGTAATAAAAGCATTTAAAATAAACACCATACACAGTTGAGGAAACGTTGGTTTAAGTACCTGATATGAAGTGGTCGCTGCATAAGCGAAAACCTTTACTCTCGGGATCCCACAGCTTAATTTTAGCCCGGTCACTAGCGCGTTTCATTGCAATGATCCAACATTTGCAGCATTCCGGATCTTGGGGAATCCTGTAGAAGGCTCTTCCCTTATGTCGTCCACGTCTGTTCTGCATCCTGGGGCACAACAGGAATCCACCATATTTCCCGTTTGATTGAGTTTTCTGACAATAACAAATAGCCTAGCTGCGGGCTTCTGCCTGCCAAGATGGTGCCGTTCGAGTTGAACTGTTGCATGCCGGGAGAAGTGACGTCAACTCCCGGAGCTCTATACATACATATTAGCGGTGTAACAGTTCACGGGGGAAAAATGAACCATTTCGGTTTATTTTTTCTGTTAAATAATGAATTTTTATTTGCATGATTTAAGTGCAGCGGATAAATGTTCCTAGGCGAGTTTCCGCACGGACACTGTATTGTGTGACGCATGATGGCTGCATGCGCCTGATCTCCGTTTAAAAAAATGTGATCTGCAAATTCTGATCAATGCCTTTCAGAGCGGATCAAACCAACTGGCTGTTGCTGCTACTGGAGCCTGTAGAGACGCTGAACGAAGCATTGCTTTGCCCCTCCATCCATGGGCGTCGCACCCGTGGGGGATGTGGGGGATTCAACACCCACACTTTTCTTATTGAGATCGTTAAACACCCACACTTTTCTTATTGAGATCGTTCAACACCCACACTTTTCCAGCCGTTTTGCTCACCTCCACACCAGTCTGGTTTCTTGCACTCACTCTGCCTCATCTCCTTCTTCCCCTCCCTCTCCTGTTTCTCCTTGAAACCTGACATCGGCTGTCGGGTTTCAAGGAGAAACAGGAGAGGGAGGGAAGAGCCCGACTGAATTCATAATTTTACATCTGGACATTAGCTGTACAAACTCTCAGTTCTATAAAGTGAAGAACAACAATTTGCAGAGGTTTATAACAGGCGTGGGGCCAGGTTTTCATTTTTGGGTGGGTCACGGTAATGACCTCCGTTATTTGGTGAAACTTACTGGGAAAGCCCCACCAGGTAGTCAGAAGCATTGAGCTGCCACCCGCAAACCACAAAAGCTGGTCTTTGGTGGAAAACCAGTGAGTGGAAGAGAGTTGAAAAACTTGATTGGGCTGTGTGTTGTAGAGAAAATTCCTTAAACACGTTGACATGCCCTCAGTTGTGCTATAATAAGCAGGATCCTAAATACTATCAATACACCTGATTTCTGAAATAAAAAAATGAAACATGACCTAAAGGGTAGCAGATATTTTCTTTCCATCATTTATATAATACTTCTGTTGCCAGGACCAGTAAGCAGACCAAACTCAGCAAGAGCTCTGGACCTGACAATATGTGGTAATTAGCTCAACTCATATCCTAAAAATTATCTTACCCCTGAATGACTTCAGGCCTGCTCGCATTACCCTCAATAGTGAGGAATACCTTTAGAAGCTCAATGAAGAAAGCCCTTTTACCTCATTTGGAGTCCTTTCTTAACCCTCTGAAGTTTATTTCAGGACTGGTTGTGAGTCAAAGATGCTTCTAAACCTTAATTTTAAATAGTGGTTACTGTTGATCAGGGATTGTCTCCCCTGTGTGGGTGACCACTATGTCATAGTACTTTTTTGTACATTTGGTTTACATGCTTGGCCATGCGTCTGCTGATCAAATGGCTTCTTGAGAACCTAAATAAAGTTGAGTGGAAGATCATTTTCTCCATATTCAGAGTTGTTTGTGCACTGTTACAAATTAGAGCAGTCAAACTCATCTCTAAGGTTTCCGAGGTCAGGTGGCCTACATTTGAACAAAGCTCCAGTTGGCTTTCAGCGACTTGCGTCGCTACATCTGCACAGTAAGCAGTATTCTATTTGCTGGGTGGAAATTCTATGTAGGGGTTATGCAACGAGTCAGGGAGGATGGAAAACCCAGCAGCGTCAGCTCTACTAACCAGAAGGTGTAGAGAAATCTCTACACTCAGCTCGGTAAGTTAGGTGAGTCTATTGTCCTTAACATACAAATCGAAGGCTCATTAATGAAAATGTAATAACCTTCACTTCATTATAGTAACATCTGCTGGGTATCCTGCTGCATCCGTTCTATAAAATCGTTAAAAATACATCAGAAATATTTAGTGAAAAACTTTTTTTGCTTTAATATTTACCACCCTGGGAATGACTGTTTAGATGTTTAATGTAAAAGTCGTGTAAACATTTCTAATTTGGGACGAAGACAGAACAAGGGTTGATTAGTGAGATGCGATGACAACTGTTATGTTTCTTTCCTAATAAAAGCTTATCAGTGGAACTTCCTTGGACTTTACTGGGAGTGTTTCAGCCTTGACTTCCTTGTGCACGCTCAAAACATGTATCTCACTTCACTTTAGGAAGAGAGGCGCTGTACAGAGGAAAAACCCAACAGGAAATGTGTTAAGACATCTTATCTGTTGCAGAGAGGCTGGCTTTGTGAACATGAGCCATGTCGAGGAACCCAGACGGGAGAAAGCTGTTGAATTCTTCAGGTGAGAATCATGGCAGCAACTGGCTGGGTCTATTTACTAACTACTCTGCTCCCTCTGGGATTGGCGGTGGCACATGGTGAGTTTTGACTAACACACTTTTAGAAAGGTTTCTGTGGATTGGAGTTGATTTTTTATCTCAGGTTTCGCCTGAAAATGTGTGATTTTGTAAAAACATTCAGCCACTTGTTGAGCTGATAAACCAGTTTTACCAGTTTCTGCTGACTCCTACAAATTTATTTTCCGCTTTAAAAGTTATCCAGTCAGTGAAATACCAAGGCAGCCTTTGATTGGAGAGAGCTAAACTACTGTTTAGGTTTCAGTTTCAATGAGAAAGAGTGGCTAAAACACAATTCAATGACAACAAATGGATAATTCCTTCCAGATAATAGAATCCATCTAAACCAAAGATGTGATATAACATGAAGCAACTGTGTGATTACTTCCTTAAGCAAACTAAATGAGACTTTTTGTGTACATTGCGTTTATTGATGTAAAAACCTTTGTGACGACATCAGATTGCAGAACTACGGAAAACAACGAGCCACAAAAATGTTGATGCGTAAATAAAACACAGGAAAACAAACAGTCACAGTGAGAAGAGTGAACGTACGCAACTTAACACTTGTGTTACGACGAGGTGTGAAATTTGTGTGACAACGTCATGAAACTCAGATCGATCGAAGAATCAAATAAAGTGAAAGCGGTCTCTTCTGTGTGGTTTCTGACAAGACTAAAACCACAGTGAAAATGTTATTTGTTTATCTGAAAAATCACTGCAGATTTCTGCAGATTTGCTGAAATGTAGCTAAAAGAATTGCTCTTCCTATATTATGTTTGCGTTTCTAACCTCTATTGTTGTTTTGTTGAACTTTACATTTTCATCACTGAAGCATCTGCGTGTTTTTGGTGTTCTGCTACTAGGCAGGTTGTCCCCACCCACAGTGTTTGCACCTACAACCAAAGTTTTCCTCCACAGGAAGCACCACCCTGCTGCAATGAAACCAACATTAAATAATTCATATGAAACGATGATTACCATGTGGGAAATAGAGTTTACTCCTCTGGTGAGACTAAGGTTGTTTTAAATATATATTCTTTTAAATCTGTGGGTTTTCATTTAGGATTTTTTGAGTTTTTATGCTCTATCAAACACCTTTGATCTTAGATCAAACTCCCCAGGAAGCCTGGAAATTTGAAAGATGTCACAGCATGAAAAACAAACTGACCAACGTCATCTTACGAAAGTCAGTCGTTGATGCTGAAGAAATGTTTTCAAAACTCTGTAAAGTCCCTTTAATGAGCTTTTTTCAGTTTTGTTGTTTTGTTGAAAAACATTTTTGTAAAAATAATCAGATTTAACTGAAAGCTTCCCGAGCAGCCTCTTTTTGATAAATTAAAGGATTGATGAGTCCTGGATGTTCCTAGGGTGCTACAATTAGCTGGTGGTGGTGATGTTTAGGGTTGGTAATGCAAGTTTAATGTCATGAAGGTTTCTAGGAAAGGTAGCAGGAGCTCCTTTAAGAGCTTTTTAATTTGAGCTATTTTAAGGCAGTAGGTTTTGTACGGGATTTAAATGAGCTGTTAGCTCATGAGAGTTGTATGAGGTGTAAACTCTCCATTTCTCTGAACAAAGGCTGCTCAGAAAGCTACAGGAGGCAGGACAGTGACAATTTATACCTTTTGCTCTTTCATTCTTTAAAAAAGTGAACAAAATACTCCTTTTGAATATCCACCGATAAAAACAGACAGCTTCAATACAGGTGCTGGCCAGTAAATTAGAATATCATCAAAAGGTTGAAAATATTTCAGTAATTCCATTCAAAACGTGAAACTTGTACATTATATTCATGCAATGCACACAGACCAATGTATTTCCGATGTTTATTACGTTTAATTTTGATATTTATAGGTGACAACCAATGAAAACATCAAATCTGGTATCTCAGAAAATTAGAATATTCTAAAGGCCAATGAAAAAATGTTTGTTTCTCTAATGTTGGCCAACTGAAAAGAATGAACATGAAAAGAATGTGCATGTATAGCACTCAATACTTAGTCGGGGCTCCTTTTGCCTCAATAACTGCAGTAATGCGGCGTGGCATGGACTCGATCAGTCTGTGGCACTGCTCAGGTGTTATGAGAGCCCAGGTTGCTCTGATAGTCGTCTTCAGCTCCTCTGCATTGTTGGGTCTAGCGTATTGCATCCTCCGCTTCACAATACCCCATAGATTTTCTATGGGGTTAAGGTCAGGCGAGTTTGCTGGCCAATCAAGGACAGGGATACCATGGTCCTTGAACCAGGTGCTGGTGGTTTTGGCACTGTGTGCAGGTGCCAAGTCCTGTTGAAAGGTGAAGTCTGCATCCCCATAAAGTTGGTCAGCAGCAGGAAGCATGAAGTGCTCTAAAACTTCCTGGTAGACGGCTGCATTGACCCTGGACCTCAGGAAACAGAGTGGGCCAACACCGGCAGATGACATGGCACCCCACACCATCACTGACGGTGGAAACTTTACACTGGACCTCATGCAACGTGGATTCTGTGCTTCTCCGCTCTTCCTCCAGACTCTGGGTCCTTGATTTCCAAAGGAAATGCAGAACTTGCTTTCATCAGAAAACATAACTTTGGACCACTCAGCATCAGTCCAGTCCTTTTTGTCCTTGGCCCAGGCGAGACACTTCTTGCGCTGTTTCATGTTCAAGAGTGGCTTGACACACGGAATGCGACACCTGAATCCCATGTCTTTCATGAGTCTCCTCGTGGTGGTTCTTGAAGCGCTGACTCCAGCTGCAGTCCACTCTTTGTGGATCTCCCCCACATTTTTGAATGGGTTTGTCGTCACAATTCTCTGCAGGGTGCGGTTATCCCTAGAGCTTGTACACTTTTTTCTACCACATTTTTTCCGTCCCTTCGCCTGTCTGTTAATGTGCTTGGACACAGAGCTCTGCGAACAGCCAGCTTCTTTAGCAATCACCTTTTGTGTCTTGCCCTCCTTGTGCAAGGTGTCAATGATTGTCTTTTGGACAGCTGTTAAGTCAGAAGTCTTCCCCATGATTGTGGTGCCTTCAAAACAAGACTGAGGGACCTTTTAAAGGCCTTTGCAGGTGTTTTGAGTAAATCAGCTGATTAGAGTGGCAGCAGGTGTCTTCTATATTCAGCCTTTTCAGAATATTCTAATTTTTTGAGATACCAAATTTGGAGTTTTCATTAGTTGTCACTTATGAATATCAAATTTAAATGTAATGAACATTGGAAATACATTGGTCTGTGTGCATTGCATGAATATAATGTACAAGTTTCACGTTTTGAATGGAATTACTGAAATATTTTCAACCTTTTGATGATATTCTAATTTACTGGCCAGCACCTGTATGCTTGGATTACAGGTGAAACTCAGAAAATTATAATTTTGTGCAAAAGTCTATTTATTTTGCGTGAAAACACACTGAGAGATCACAGGGGGCTAAAAACAATCTGTGCAGATGGAACTTTAAAGGTATGGTGCAAAAATCCATTTATGTCAGTAAACCAGTTTAGACTGAGAGACCATCTAAGGCTCAGGAGCCCTTTTTCAGGTGTTCTGGATTCATTAGCTGATTAGAGTTTGACACTTGGAGTCTAGAACGTTGAACCTTTTCACAATATCCTTATTGGGATTGAGAATGTAGAGATTTCATCAGCTGTAAGTCATAATCATCACGGTTATAACAAATAAAGGCTTAAATGTCTGCATTTGCATGAAATGAGACTGTCTCATGTATCCCTTGCATGCATTAATTAGGAAATCTTCAACCATGACTTTTTTTAACAATTTATTTTTATTCATCTTTATGTATGAAGGAAACAAATTTCAACAAAAAATGTTTCTCTTCAACATTTAATTTACAAATAATTGATTACATGTCCACCTCAGTGGACAGCGTGCATTCTGAACATGAAATATGTTGGCTTGACTTTCTTCAACAGCTGTTCTTAACAGCAAATAATAATAATAATAATAATAATAATAATAATAATAATAATAATAATAATGTAACTATTTTGAGTAGTTATCCACTGAAGTGATATTTGTGCATGAAAGGGATATTAGTTCCACAACTTTTACACCATATTCAATTTTTCGAGTCTAACTTGTAACCATTTGTTTTTTCTTGACCTTATGCATCAGCCAGAACTAGGTGTTCTGTATTGACAAGCAGGATTTAGTAATCCAGGAAAAATACAGTCAGTCACCTCCTTCATGAAACTGTGAGAGGAACACAAATGGCAGCGTGTCAGTTTATCCTTGGAGTTTTGGTAAAATGCTAAATGTGTTGTATATTCAATCCTGATCAGAAACAGCAAAACAAAAACAGTTAATCAGTGATACAAACATGGGAGAAGACTCAGATGCAGGTGTTAGTCTACTAATAAATGTACTTTATGTGGGCAGTCTTCTCTTCCTTAGTCTAATCTTCTCTGTGTTCATCTCTTCATCTTCCCATTTGGAATCTTGGTTTGGTCTTTTCTGGGTTGTTTTGTGGACTAACATGTGTTGTTCGGTGTCTGCTGGTGTGTTATCATGCTTTCAGTTCCTCTCTGCCATTAGCTGACCTACTGTGTGGTTTGTTATGTGCTATTATGCTATTTTATTGTGGTTTTTAGTTGTAATGTCTCCCTCACTAATGTAAATCTGAGGTATTTTCTGGCTAAAATGGACTTTTTGATAGGTAGCTTTGACATAATTTTGCTTAACCCGAACCCAGGTACCAGTACAGTGACAGTGCAGCACCGCCACCCTGTGGCAGTAAAGTGTATTTTTTTACTTTAAAAACTTTTACATTTTATCTAATTGAAGAATGTCCCAAATGTGAACTTAAAAAAGCAGAAAGACTGACCAAAGATACTAATTACAAAATACACGTGATGCTACAAAATGATAGATTACATTCCCATGACCTGTCGTCAGAAAGGAAAGAATTATATTTATTTTATAATATATTTAGTAATTATTGATTAAATGAAAAAAATAAAAATTAGGGCTGGGACTTGATTAAAATTTTTAATCTAGTTAATAACAGGCTTTGTAATTAATTAATCTCAATTAATCACATTTTAATCGTTCAGGAAAATGTGCTCTCAAAGTAAAACTTTTAATTAAAATTATGAGACAGAGAATCAAACATTAGATATGGTTATTACTGTAAACTAAAGATTTTAATAAAAAGTGCATTTTAATTATTCAAATGTCACTGTGTGATATGAAACAAAACCCAAATCAACTAAAATTTATAATTACAAATAGAAAGCACCTGCAAAGGGTTCCTGAGCCTTTAAATAGTCTCTCTGTCTAGTTGAATGACTGAAATAAATTTGACTTTGCTCCAGATTCTAATTTTTCCAGTTTCACTTGTTTGTATAATTGGGAGTTTTTAATTAGCATTTCTACTCATAATGTAGTAAAAACACATAAATAATAATCCTTCAAAATGACAGTAGAACAGGCACAAATATGATCTAGGACTTAAATGTGCTAACTTTTAACACCAGAGCAGGTGTGACGTATTCTGAGAATGATCAGGAACACTAACTGATTCCAGTTGGATGACTGGAGGATGATGGGATGATAAAAGATCATGGCGAGGAAAGATCTGACGAACAGGTGAGCGGACCTTCCTTACATGGGAAGTCCTGAAGCCAGGTTAAGAAGGGGATGCTGCAGACCCCCAGATTCACACCCGCAGCACCGAATCTGGTGTGATCTCCAGCCTGATCACAACTTTCTCGTTCCTCGCTGCCCCAGATACACTTAAGCATCCGCCCCTTAGCTGATGACAGCTTCAACACACCTCGCAGCTAGTAATGCATGTGATGTTTAGACAGAGACTCGTCTCAGAAACATATAATTCCCCGACAGAATTGTTTAGAAAATCATCAGAAAAGTTTCAGAGTGTTTCTGTTTTAACTTAAACTTCTGTTTTCAACTTTAAGACACGTTGTTTGTTTTTGTTTACAGAGTAGTGAGAACACGGAGCGTTCTCCCAGCGGCAGCCAGGTGCCTCTCGTTTGTCTGACTACTTTCATAAACTACTGTTAGGGCACAGAATTATTCTGTCTGGTGCTTTCAGCGCTGCACAGATGTTACGTAAATGTTGAAAATATAGCTTACCGCAACTTTTGTAAAGTTCACGGTGCCACCGGGCAGCCGCAGCAGAGACGATCTCTGAAAAATGTCCGCAACACGGACTCCGTTGTTGTCTGGAAGTTTTTTTTTCCAAGTTAAGAAAAGAGGCGGGCGCGTTTCCTAAATCCTGCATCAGACCAAGCAAGGCAACTTCTTTCTGTTTATATTCCGTTTTCGTAGCCATTAGCCACTGTGCATTGTTGTGTGCGTCAGTGATATTCAGTCTACGAGGAAGTCGTGCAATGACAAAGGTTCCGCCGTGCTTGAAATGCAAGCTGCAATTAAATGCGTTAATTTTTTTTACGCGTTATTTTTTTCTAATTAATTAATCGTAATTAATGCATTAAAGTCCCGGCCCTAATAAAAATAAAACTAACTTTTTATAACTATGTTCCACTTTTTCTGAAGCCTGTTTTAAACAAATACCTGTTTCTCCATGATATGTATTTTGTTATTTCCACCCATAGTAAAGATGGGGGACGGGGGGTCAATGTTCATTTATTTCCATGTAATTAATTGGCTTTTTTTTCTTGATGACTGTTAAGATCTGTAGAAGGTGTCTGTTCTCTTTTCCTGTCCCATTTGGCATACTCCCAAAGTAAAACACAGAAAATATCTTACCCAATTGTTATCCCATTACCACCGTAATCACTTCTGTCCAGTATAGACAGCACTCCTACATCCTCAAAAGATGTGAAACTGCAGATCACTGTCCACAACTTCTCCAGTAATTATCATGTTCAGAAGTGTAATCTGTGTTTCTGTGATGTTTGGGGTAATGAAGTACCTTCATTTATTTTTCCACGTAAATGATCTCCATAGGTGGAAGCTAGAGGCAGTTTCAGTGGTTTCACATATATTCAGCCAATCGTCGTCAGATACATTTAATTCAACTTAATTTGACCGTCTTTAAATTACAGTGTAGAAATATTGTTTTAACGGATTATAAAACAGAATACACATTAGAGACACGTTTACTTCTTCATGCAGGTTTTAAAATCATAACAGGGGTTGATCTCTGTGTTTTAGAACTAATTTACATTCAAATGATGCCCAACCCAGACATCTGGATAAACATCATCTTTCACCAAGTTAAATCTGTCTGATATATGTGGAAATGTGTCTTGCCCCCTTTTCTGTGACAGTCCCCCATTAGTAATGCCTTTAATACTCTGTAATTAATTTACTATTCTCTAATTTTGTGCATAACAAATGAAAAAGTTGTAACTGTAATTTTTGCTGCCTCTTGGCCAGAACTCCCTTGAAAATTAGGTGGTTTATCTCAATGGGACCTTCCTAGTTAAACAAACAAACAAACAAACAAACAAACAAACAAACAAACAAATAATTACACCTGAATTTACATACTGTATCACAGTTTCCATGTGTGAAATCCCGGCCGCATGCCTGCCAGCATAGAATCGTTGCATCACTTTCGACTTGCTTGTCTTTTAGTTCTTTAAACCAAATGTCCAATGCTGTTTTTACCCCCAATAGATACTTTGGATAAAGTAGTTGTGATAGTTGTTTGGCCCCTAAAGTGGCAGTAAAGGTGAAAAGGTGTTGTAAATGAGAACGTTGTTCAAATCATTATGAAACGCTGTGGCGCTACGCCCCCCTTCTCTTTCTGTTGGAAACTGTTATTAATTCAAGAGGTAATTTTCCGTTAATCTGGGACCTTTTACCTCGAAAACAGCACCTCTGACATGTGGGGTGCCTCAGGGCTCCATTTTGGGTCCGGCACTTTTTTCTTTGTATATGCTCTCAAAGGGCTCTATTTTTGAGAAGTACAAAATTACTTTTCACTGTTTCGCTGATGACCTTCAGATCTATTTGCCACTTAGTGATGCCAGGTCAATTGGCTCATTACTGGAATGCTTAAAAAGCGTCAAACAATGGATGTCCATGAATTTTCTTAAGCTCATTAATCAAAAAACAGAAATTGTACTATTTGGCAGTCCTAATCTTTTAAACAACGTTGTTAGTCCTCTTGGTCCTTGCTCTGGTTTTCTAAAACCCTGTGTTAAAAACCTTGGTGTGTTTTTAGACGGTTCTTTTAATCTTCACAGACAAGTGAGTGCAGTGGTCCAATCAGGTTTTTATCATTTAAGGCAGATAGCAAAGATGAAGCCATACCTTCCTGCTGATGTCCTCGAACATGTCATCCACCTGTTCGTGTCTTGCCGATTGGACTACTGCAACTCCCTGTATTCTGGCCTGGACCCGTCCTCCCCACACCAACTTCAGCTGGTCCAAAATGCAGTGGCTCGCTTGCTGACTCGAACCAGCAAGTGGGATCACATAACCCCGGTTCTGGCCTCTCTCCATTGGCTTCCTGTCTCTTACAGGATCCGTTTCAAAATTTTACTTTTTGTTTTTAAATCCCTTCATGGCCTGGCCCCAGTTTACATCTCTGAGCTGCTGTCCGCTTATGTCCCTGCCAGAACCATGAGGTCCAGCTCTCAAGCTCTTTTAACAGTTCCAAAAACCCGCCACAGGACTCGCGGCGACAGAGCTTTCTCTGTGGTTGGGCCCAGACTGTGGAACAAGCTACCTCTCAACATCAGGACCACACAGAAGCTAGAGCATTTTAAGACGCATTTTTTTTATTTGGTTTTTAATGCAGGCTGACTTGAGCATCTTAATAGTTTTTAACAGTTTTTATCATAGATTGTGACTGTTGTGTGCTCATCTTATTTTAGGTTTTTATTGTTGATCTGTTGTATCTTGATTTGTTTTACCTTGTACAGTGCCTTGGTGTAGCTTTGCTGCTGTAAATGCGCTCTGTAAATAAAATTGACCTTGACCTTAAAAACGATTAGAAAAATCTCACGTTTGACTCTTCCAGACCACAGTGGGGAGACTGACACCTACCATGTCAGTGCTGGACACATGTTCCTGCTCGGTTGTTCTGCTGATGCTCATTCAGTGAACTGGAGGAGAGGAGACAACAGGAGCATCCCTACCGGAGTGGAAGCCGTGGATGGGCTGCTGTGGTTTTTACCACTACAGATGTCTCATAATGGAACCTACATCTGTGAGAAAAGGTTAAAAACCTTTTTGTGTCATTCTGAGCTAACATACCCTTAAGCTAGATGTAAACTATTATTTCTGATTGCATAATTTATGAGTGGTTTAGTTTTACAAATTACAATCATGGATGAATTCGTCGTCGTCTTCCTCCGCTTATCCGGGTCGCGGGGGCAGCATCCCAACTAGGGAGCTCCAGACCGTCCTCTCCCCGGCCACCTCCACCAGCTCCTCCGGCAGGAACCCAAGGCGTTCCCGGACCAGATTGGAGAAGTAACCTCTCCAACGTGTCCTGGGTCGACCCGGGGGCCTCCTGCCGGCAGGACATGCCCGAAACACCTCCCCAGGGAGGCGTCCAGGAGGCATCCTGACCAGATGCCCAAACCACCTCAACTGGCTCCTTTCGATCTGGAGGAGCAGCGGTTCTACTCCGAGTCCCTTCGGAATGTCCGAGCTCCTCACCCTATCTCTAAGGCTGAGCCCGGCCACCCTACGGAGGAAACTCATTCTGGCCGCTTGTATCCGCGATCTTCATGCATGAATCATTATATAAAAACCACACAAACACACTCAAGACCAGATTCCACTGCATTCTTCTCAATGTTTCTCACTTTCCATGTAGAGAAAAGACTGGATCTTCAAAGAGAAGGTTCAGTGTCTTGGTGTCCAGCGCAGACTGTCCTGACTCAAACGAGGAGATTCTCATCACTGAGGGGGTCAGAGGAGGTCTTCCCTGTAAGCAGACAGAGATCTTCAGCCTGAATGTCACGAGAAGAGTCAGATGGATGAAGGTAATCACATCTGTTACCTACCCATGGACTAAAACCATGAAGTAAAAATATCCACACAGTTGGAAAAAAAGGTATTATTACTAACAAAGCCACTGAAAACAGTTTGAGAGCAACAGCTTCAGACTCGTCAGCGTTGGGAGAATACTTTTGTGTTCATCAAATGTACGTAAGCTGAGGGATGCAATAATTATGTGATCAGTTGAATAAAGACAGATTAAAGGTCAACTTAGTTTCTTTTTTTAAAGGAATTACAATTATTTGTGTAAAATAAAACATGTCGTGACTCCGTAGAACTTAGTGCTGTCTGTCCTGCTTGCCTGCAGGACTCTAACCTGGTGCAGTTGGACGAGGAGTCCACGTATGTTGGTGAAGATGGCTTCTTAAGGCTTCCTGCGGTCACGGACAGGGATGCTGGGAAATATACCTGCATAATAAATGTTATCATGAACGGCACAAGTTACACTGCTGCACGCAGCATCCAACTGACGGTTAGAAATGGTACGGACTGATCATCCCAGAGCTCGCATTTAAAAATCATTTATTCGATTTTTTCATTAGGATTTTATATCAACTGCTCCTTGCAACTTGGGTTTGTTAATATGCATTTTGAGTGATTCTTGACATTTTATTGTCTGGTTTTTTTTATTCCTTTATATAGTAAAGTGTCTTGCCTACCGAAAGTAGTTGACCAACTGTGTTTTTTTCTAATCCACCACATTGATAATTGGTGCTTTCAGAACCTCCAGAGGTGTTTCCAGAACTGCAGGTGGTGAAACCATTACAGGATGTTTTTCTAGTCCAAGTGGGTTAGTAAAAAGTACACACACACTCGCGCGTGCGCACACACACACTCCAGACTGACAGTGACAATGTGATTGTCTAAAAGATTTATGTTTTATCTAATAGCAGATGCTGCAGATGTCTGAGTTTAATTTAAACATTTATGAAATGATACTTGTTGTTTTGCATCAAAACAACATTTTGCATCTTAGATATTTCAATCTCAGAAATTACAGATGACTTTAACTGGGCTAAGTCCCATTAGCCATCACGCACTGGTGACCCATCCCCATGAGGAGTGGTGAGCTGCAGCTGAGATTGCGCTCAGGAACTATTTGGTGTTTCAACCCCTTAATGCTGTTGCCTGGCCTGCCAGACTCCTACTCTGTTTAATTCTGCACAGAGAAAGGGTCTGCAAACTCTCCTATTTAAATAACCCCACCCCCTGAGAATTCTAACCAAGCCAATCAGCGCTGAGTAGTGTACGTCACACACTATAACGCCGAGTTTGTCATAAACATGGCGACTGAAGCGGAGTTCGCTGTGGCTCTTTCCTCTGTTCTAAATGACTTGGACACGTCTTTAAAACCACAAAAAGTAGAAGCGCTAAAAGCCTTTCTTCTAATGAAGTAAAGAAGTTTGCGCCGTTGCCAGACACCGTTTTTTTATTTTATTTTATTTTTTATTGTTTTTTGAATGCTTGTCCAGACGCCGGTTTTGACTACAGCTAAAAAACTAACGCGTTGCGCGGTACAGTCGGAATTTCCGTCTTTTTACTGATTGGTTATTGTTGAGCTGCCTAGTCCCGCCCCTCATGTGCCTCTCTGCCTGTGAGTTACCAGACTCTTTCTCTGTGCAAAACTAAACAGAGGACAAGTCTGGCAGGCCAGGCTATTGGGTCCCATTTTTAAAGTGTTTGGTATGACCCGACCAGGATTTGAAGCCTGATTCCCAGACCCAGGGAGGATTTTCTACCACAAGGCCAACCTAGTTTTCATCTTAATGATGTTTCTTTAGCTCCTCATTCAGAGTTTTTATGACGTCTGCCTGTTTTCATTAGGTGAACGAGCTGAGCTGCAGTGTTTAGTCTACACCGGCTTCAGTGAGGATCCAGAGATATTGATGTACTGGACCATCAATGGGATATACATCAGTGATTATGAAGAGCTGAATGAGACCTGGCACTTGTGAGTTTAATAATAAATTTGTTTTTCGGATGATATTGGTGGGGAGGAAGAAAAATACTCTTTGTTTCTCAATCTAAAGTTCAAACGCGGGTGTAATGTAGGGTTTTGTGTCTCTGTCTCATTCCCAAAGCCCTTAACAAGAGACGTCTGAGCATAATCTGAGCTGCCAACTGTAACTTTGTTCTCATCTTTATACAAGTTCTCCAGGGCAAAAAGCTTCTGATGGTTAAAGATCAGGGGTCTTATTTATCAAACACTGTAGAATCCTTACTAAAACCGTACTTAAGCTCAGCAAAAGGGGGTGGGGGTGGGGGATGTGGTGGCGGTGATGGGCCAGTGAAAACTCCGCTG